TGGCATCTTCTAAGAGCTTGTTAGAAAGACAGAATCTAGGGCCTCATCCCAGCTCTACTGAATAAGAATCTGCATTTTAACAAGATCTCCAAGTGATTCCTACGTACATGAAAGTTTGAGAAGTGCTAGTTTAAAAACAAATGATGAATTCAAGTAATCTTATCTCAAACAACTTATTGAAAGAAATCAAAACATGATTTAAAAAACTGACTACTGCAATAATTCTGAGTTCCTCTACATACTATATACCATTTAAGATCCCAAAGTCAGTTGTGCCCAGTCAAAGTGATTTAAATCAGAGGTCTGAGGAGCAAAATGTGACTTCCCAGGACAGGCCATAAAAGACACTGCAGCTTCTGCCCTGCTCCCTCTTGGATCACTCGCTCTGGAGAAACCCAGTAGCCATGTCACAAAGACACTCACACAGCCCTGGGCAGAGGTCCACATGGTGAGATGAGGTCTCCTGCCAACAACCAGCCTTAATGAGCCATCTTGGAAGTCAATCTTCTAGCCCTAGTCATCAAGCCTTCAGATGACCACAGCCCCTGCTTACATCTTGACTTCAACCTCATGAGACACCAAACAAGAAGCATTCAGCTACGCTGACTATAAAGAATAAGGAATCTGTCCATCACACAGTTAAGCAGAAGGGCTGAGATTCCAATCCGGGCAATTTGGGACTTCAGATCCTGTATTCTTAAACCAAAAACCAAACCTGTTGCCGTCAAGTCTATTCCACCTTATAGCGACCCTGTTATCTCACACCTACATTATATTGTTTCCCAATAAAGTGCACATTTAAGCCATGAAATAGTGCTATTAACAATGATTAACTTCTATAAAGCTGTTAAGCACTTTACTATAGGCACTAAATCAAACTTGAAAGCAAGATTTACAGTTGCTAATTATAGCACTCCATCACCTGTCCGTCAGTTTGTTGTACTGTAGTAGCTTGTGTGTTGCTATGATGCTGGAGGCTATGCCACAGGTATTTCAAATACCAGCAATGTCACCCATGGTTGACAAATTTCAGTGGAGCTTCCAGACTGAGACAGACAGGAAAGATCTGGTGATTTACTTCTGAAAATTAGCTAATGAAAACCCTACGAATCACAACAGAATATTGTCTGATATGGTGTGGGAAGGTGAGTCCCCTAGGTCAGAAGACTGTCAAAATACACAATGGTTGCAACAATGGACTCAAGCCCATCAATGACCTTCAAGATGGCACAGAACTGGGCTATGTTTCATTCTTTTGTACATGGGTCATCATGAATTGAAGCTGACTTGATGACAACTAACAACAATTACAGTACTAGACAATTTAAACATACCATCATCCCAGTAGATAGATTCTAGTGTTTCCTTTTTTAAAGATGATGAAACTGCGAGAAAAAAGATTATAAGTGACTTGTATACAACCACACAACTTGTAAGCAGTAATGAGGGTATGAAAAATAACCTTAGTGACCATTGTCTCAATTTTCCCAAGAGTAGTACCTAATTAGTACCCTTTTAGGAGTCCCTGGGTAGCACAAATGGTTAAGTGCTTGACTACTAGCCAAAAGTCTAGCAGTTCAAACCCAACCAGAGTTGCCTCAGAAGAAAGGTCTGGCAATCTGTTACTGAAAGGT